TACACAGCTGGTTCTTGTAGAAGCAGGGGTAGAGCCAGGCTCCTGTCCCCACTGCCTGACCCAGAGGAAAGCTCATAGGTGCAGCCCTGGGGGAGGAGGGGTGGCCCCTTTCTCTCCTGAGCCTCCCTCGAGCTTCTGGCACCCCCCTCCGCCCTGTCCTTGCAGTAGCCTGGATGGCCACTGGTATTCTTTGCTCTAGAACAGTGGTTCTCCATGTCGGCTGCCCATTAGAATCACCTGATGGGCACTGACCAACCTGGACCCCAAGGCTGATGGTTCCATGGTTCTGGTGAGGCCATCACCAGAACGTGATTAGGCTCCCTGGCTGGACAGCCATTGTCCTGGAGGCAGAAGGGAGGGATACCCCCCAAGAAAGGTCACTATTACTCCACAAAAGAGGCCTTCCTGGTGACTGGTGGCTGAGTTGCCTACCCACGAAAGATCAGCAGTGGTAGCAGGGTCCTCCCAGGTCCCCCAAGCCCCCTCTGCTTCTTGTCCTTAGTCCATCCAGCCCACGGCCAACCTGGACCGAACCGATGACCTGGTGTACCTCAATGTCATGGAGCTGGTGCGGGCAGTGCTGGATCTCAAGAATGAGCTGTGCCAGCTGCCCCCCGAGGGCTACGTGGTAGTGGTGAAGGTGAGAGCCCGGGCGGAAGGGGACCCGAGGAGGTGGGGCTGTGCACCCCTGAAGAAGGGGATGGTGTCTCCACCCATGGTCAAAGGGAAGTTGGTTCCTGGAACCCCCAAGAAGTGCTCCTGCCAAAGCAAACAGGGCTTTCTGGAAAAGAAAACAGCAGGCGGTAACAGCTGCCCTGCACCTTCCTCCCCTCAGAACGTGGGGCTGACCCTGAGGAAGCTCATTGGGAGTGTGGATGATCTCCTGCCCTCCTTGCCATCATCTTCGAGGACAGAGGTAGGTGTCCTATCCTAGATGATATCGAATCTGTCACTTCTCCCTGTACCTCCACCTGTTCCTAGTTGCATTTCTAGCAGAGGCCCCTGGGGCCACCTGGGCAGCCCCATTTCTGACCAGCAGGAGACTGCACAGCATGTCTGGGCAGCCACCACCAGAGGGCCAAGAGGCCCCCAGGAGCCTGGCCAGCTTCTGGGGTGAATTTCCTATCCGGATCTCAGATTGCCATGAATTCTCATTGAATGCGGATGTGCAAGAGGGCACGCCTACCTCTCCTCCCCACCCTTGATCCTTTATCTACTCACTGGACCGAGGTCAAGGTGAATGTGTCATTGAAATCCTGAGCTGTCAATGAAGCCCTGGGAGAATCCCAGTGTCCTGCTGACACAGCCCTATGATGGCCACAGGGACCTAGCCTGATCCCTGGGACCTGTGAACGCATTATCTTACAAGGCTAAAGGGGGTTGGGGGATGTGATCAGTGTGAAGCTCTTGAGAGGGGGAGATTAGGTGGATTATCCAAGTGGGCCTATGTCCTTATTAATGGGCAGCGGGGGGAAGGTCAGAGAAGGGCTGTGATGACAGAAACCAAAGTCAGAGGGACACTGCTGCTGGAAGGTGCAGCTTCAACATGGGGAAAGGCAGGGAACACCCTGCCCAGCTCCAGAAGGAACACAGTCCAGTCCGCACCCTGGTGTTAGCCCCATCGGGCCTGCTCAGAAGTCTGACCTGCAGAACTGTCAGGGAATGACCCATGCTGCTCGGAGCTGCTGGGTTTGTGGTCATTTGTTACTCCAGCTGTAAGAAGCTGATCCAGGGCCACTGGACATTTGTCGATTGTCCGTCTGGAAACCAAATGTGGACCTCCCATGGAGCCCTGGGATCCTCTGCCTGTGGCATGTGGCCCATCCCATCACCACCCTAACCATCTGCCTGCTCAAGGCAAGACAGAGCAGGGACACTTGGGACATTTCTCAACCTGCCTCTGGGTGGCAGCAGTAGCCCACAGAGGAGCCCCAGCTAGGCAGGTACCACCAGAGGGCTGAGATGGCCACCAGGGACCTAGCCAGCTTCAGGGCAAATTTCCTGAGGAGAGGTCAGGTGTGATGTGATAGCTCCCTATCCTAGGGATGACCACTCGCTCATTCAACAAACATCTCTTGTGTTTCATGTGCTCAGTTGCTAGGCTCTGGGCATGTGGTGGTTAAAAAAGAAAAATCCCAGATCTCTTGATTTGACAGTAGACAGTTACAAAACGGCACAGGCCCGTGGACCCTGACCGTTCACTTAAATGCTGGTGGTGTGAAGGGTTGTTGCTGTGACCGGATGGCGTATGGGGCTGGGTCAGGCCATGCTCACACATGATTGGCTAGGGGTTGGGATGCCCACTCCAATCTGTTTGGGGGGCTGGATTCAGCCAGGCCTGGACCCACCTTGTCCCCAGGGACTGCTGACTACCTCAGCCAATACCCTTCCCCAGGCCCAAGCACCCCGCCTCTCTGTGTGCTCTCCCTACAGATTGAGGGGACCCAGAAGCTGCTCAACAAGGACCTGGCAGACCTCATCAACAAGATGCGGCTGGCGCAGCAGAATGCCGTGACCTCCCTGAGTGAGGAGTGCAAGCGACAGATGCTCACGGCCTCCCACACCCTGGCCGTGGATGCCAAGAACCTGCTGGATGCCGTGGACCAGGCCAAGGTCCTGGCCAATCTGGCCCACCCGCCTGCAGAGTGACCTAGGGTGGGGGCCACCCGCCTGCGTCTTCCACCCCCACCCGTCATGCACCTCCCCTGCCTTGCCTTTGGTCACGTGGTCTTCTCAGGGAAGGCCCGGGGTGAGGGGTCCTTCCCTCACCACTTTGCACGACCCCCTCCCCGCCCCACCCCAGACTGTGCTGTTCAGGCTGCAGCTGGATGGAGGGGACTCTGGATATGGACGCAGGGTGGGTGTGACACACATGGTTCAGAGGTCACTGTCACCGCCAGCTACTCCTCCCACCCCAGCCTGGGTGTGGAGCCTCATTGGGGTCACAGTGGTGTCCCTAGCAGCCAAAATGGCTTATGCATGGACATGGCGGGCCCATATGGGAGCCAAGCTATTTCTTCTCCTTCCTCTTCAGCCCTCGGGGATCCCCTGATGCACAGAGGGGCCAGGGAAGGGCCTTATTTGGGGGGGGTCAGGAGGCTTGTAAGATGGGGGATGGGCTGGCTTTCTTGTACAGTGTATATTCAAATTTATTTAATGTGAGTTTGGTCTGGATTGACAGCTGGGTTCCCTCCTGATGGGGAATCTGGGACACAGTCCAAGAACAAACGGATTGGGAATTCTGGCACAGGACACTGTGTTGTTATCACACCAAGTCTCAGGGGAAGGAGTAGAGAGACAGCGGCCAGGACTGGACTTTGGACCACAATCTGCTCTCTCCCTGGCAACCTCCTCTCTTTCTTCCTTTACCTTCTCTGCCTTTTCTTACTCCTCCTCTTCTCCCCACCCCCCTTTTCTCAACTGATCCCTTCCTTTCTCAAGTGTTTGTGTTGAGCCTTCTCTTACCTTCTTTCTATCAGATTTGTGGTTGGATTAAACTCGTACCATTTGCTTTGCGGTTTGTTGGACTGTGGTGTTGGTTTGATGTGCCCTTTGGGGGAGGAGGCTGGCCGTGAACCATAGCCCGGCAAGAGATGGATGGTGTTCTTCTTGGGTGCAGATCAAGGGCTGATGGATGCTGGGCCGTGGCCAAGGAAAGCGCCTGGCAGTGGGACAAGTGTGCTCCAGCCCTTTTGCCCCAACTGGACGATAGGGTGCCTGACTCAGGGGCCACTTTCCAGGAGGGACCCAGGGCAGTTTCGTCCATGTGGCATCCCTCTTCCAGCTGCACCCAGACCACTTGGGCTCTGGGGGGGTCACACAGCTGAAGGAGCAGCAGACTTGGCTTTATTTAACCACTTTACTCACATGCGAGATGGATGGACAGGAGACATGAACAACACAGGGAACGTCCCTGCAGCAGGAGATCACCTCTGGGAGCCTCAGGTAGATAGAGAGACCGGGGGAGGGGCTACATTCACAGGAGTAGGGAGGCGTGAGGCCAGAGGGCCACTGAGTGGGGGTCTCAGAGAGAACTGAGGAGCAGGGCCTGGGCCAGGGTCACAGGTAGGCAGGTCTTTCCAGATGTGTGATGGAGTGTTGTGTGCTGAGGAGGAGGAGGTTCAGAAGGACAGGACCCCAAGACAGAAGGAAGTCAGCAGTTTGCCCTTCTCTGCTTCCTGCCTGGGGCTCCACACTGTCTGCACAGCCTGGTGTACACCTCTGGTGGCTGCTGAGGTCCTGCCCTCAGGGGCTGGACAGAGCTCAGGAGAGGCTCCACCCACCGGGCTCGGCATTCCTCAGAGCAAGAACAAGCTGCACAGAATGGCCCACAGCAGGTCAGACGTGGTGAGGCTCTGGGGAGGACAGGAAAGGCAGGCTGGAGGGACACCCGAGGGCACTGGCATCCCCCAGCAGGCGTGGAGCCCAAAACGTTCAGTGTTTCCCCTCCACCACGCACAACATAGAGTGCCGGTGCCCCTCACCCTGTGCTGGGCTAGGTCCTAGGGAGAGGAGAAACTGAAGGGTCCCTGGCTGTGAGGAGTTCAGAACTGAAGGAGCTTGAAGCAGAGATCCCCAACTCCAGAGAGGTGTGCTGACCGCAGACTACAGGGACCAGGGCACTGCGGAAGAACAGCCAGGATGGCCTTCCTGGTTTGTTCACTGCAGGTTCATGGGCACACAGGGCACACAGGGCACACAGCGCCCACAGCGGCGGCTCTCAGTTCTGGCTGCTTCTTTGCAAGGAAGAGGGAGGCACGATGCCCCAGGGGGTGCTGAAGGTGCTTTGGGTGGATGGGAAGGCCCTGCTCCACTGCCCCCCCACACCTGCTCCCCGCTCCTTCTGTAAAGTCCCTTGCTACACCACAGACCTCCAAGCCCTGCAAACTCACACTGAACACTTCCTCAGCCTGGTTTAAAGAGCCCAACCTGCGCTTCCAGCCTCCCCGACCCTGGCCTGGGGGTTCCCCTGGTTACTTCGGGCTCATTCCTAAATCTAGACCATTGCTCATAGCCCCTCCACCCCTGAGGCAGCCTCCCCTTCCCCCATGTGCCCCTCCCTCAAGGCCATATTGTTTCTCCTTGTGCTAGTCCCACCCCTCTGCAGGGCAGAGTCCTCCTTCTTTTCTAGCTCCTCTGCTTCCTAAACTGGGCTTTCTGTCCAGCAGATTCCCAGTACTAGGTTCATAGCGTCACAGTGAGTGCTCCAGGAAGACTTTCAGGGCTGGTGCTCTCTCCCCAGAAGCACCGCAGGCAGATGGCGCTGGCCCCCGAGGGCACTCTGGAGGCAGCTGCAGCTAAAGGTGGTCGTTGCTGGCTGGCAGGACGGCCTTGGAGCCGACACAAGGGACATGGCATCAGATCATTCCAGCCAGGAACGGAGGCAGAAAGAGCCCCAGGGTTCCCAGGAAGCAGACGATGATGAAGAGCCAGAGGAAGATCCTGTCGATGACCAGGGCAACACACTTCCAGTCTTCTCTCACCTGCGGGAGAAATGGGCTCACAGTGACAGAGGCAGTCCTCCCATGCTCAGCCCCTGTAGGGACAACCACAGGACGGCAGCAGCTGCCCCCTGAGACCTGAGGGGAAGCGAAGACTGGCACAGGTGCAGAGATGGGGTGGAGGGAGACACAGAGCTGGCCCAAGCCCCATACCATCCTCTCCTGTGTCCCACCCGTCTCACCCTCCACACTGCCGGGGCTCACAGGTTCTGGGCAAAGGGATTAGAGGGACACAGAGAGGTGCTTGGAACCATCTAAGGAGATGGACTCCCAGTGGCTGCAGCGATTTCAGTGCAGAGAGGGTGGGGTAGGTGTGACTCGGGGCAGGTTAGGGGGTGGGTGGGCTTTGTGCAGCTTGGACTCCCAGCCCAGGCCAGGGATGGATGCCTAGCTGCTCCCAAATTAATGATTAATTTTCTCATTCACTCAACAAGGCTACCCTGTGATCCTCTCCAGCCTTTCACCCTTCCCTAAGTTGATAAGAGAATTCTGATGCTGAGCGCTAGATAAGGCAGGGGCTGCGGAGAGGCCCAGCCTGGTACAACCAAGAATCTGCAGAGTTTGTGGTTGACTCATGAGCTTCATAAAGGGCCTGATGAGAAAGGAGGAGAGGGGACCATCTAGCACAAAAGAGGAAGGCCACTGCCACAGGGGCTAGCCCACCAGGCTCTCCTAATGCCCCCTCCACCTCCGTATCCCTGCTGACTCCTGCAGGTAGTGGCATAAGCGTGGCATGGCAGAGTCCACATCTGAGCACACCCTCTCTGCCCGCTGTCTCCCAGTGAGGCTGAGCAGGGACATTCTTGACCTACTGCCAACAAATGTCCTAAGAGCCACCAGCTAAATGTTCTCTCACAATTGATTCCAGACTCTTTGGAGCCATGAATGAGGGAGGCCAGCCCTCAGGGAGGGGACCAGGTTGGTCTAGCTACCACCTTGAGGTGGGAGGGTTCCCTGCTAAGCTGGTAAGGTCACCCAGGGGAGGCCCTCACCCACCGAAGAGTCGGCATCCTCTGACCGCAGGTGGTCAGCAATATAGTGTACACCTTCCAGGGCTTTCTGTATGCGAGGCGACAGCAAGATCTCACGCTCTCCAGAGGGAGCCTCGGCCCTGGGCCCTGAGGCCTGTGGGTGCAGGCGTCCCCGGCCACAAATGATACCCATGGAGGGGGCTAGGCGGCCTGCACACACCCATCGGCCTTTCTCCTCCTCCTCCTCTGCCTCCTCTCTCTCCTCTGCGTCCATGTTGGTCTCCAACCAGTAACAAGACGGGCTGAGTTTCAGGCCTGGGGAGTCGTGTGGCTCCAAGGATGGCAGAGGCCGGTTCATCAGCAGCCACTGGGACACACGTCCCAGCAGGGCCACCCGCACCCAGCGGGGCATGCAGTGGGTGCTGGGGGAGCGATGGTGCACGTTGAGCACGAAGACGGTGATGACGATGGAGAGGGTGACGAAGATCATGGTGAAGAGCAGGTACTCGCCGATGAGCGGGATGACCAGCGAGGTGGACGGGATGATCTCGGTGATGAGCAGCAGGAAGACGGTCAGCGAGAGCAGCACGGAGATGCACAGCGTGATCTTCTCGCCGCAGTCGGAGGGCAGGTAGAAGACCAGCATGGTGAGGCAGGAGATGAGCAGGCAGGGGATGATGAGGTTGATGGTGTAGAAGAGTGGCAGCCGGCGGATGACGAAGGCATAGGTGACGTCGGGGTAGATCTCGGCGCAGCAGTCATACTTTTTGCTGTTGTAGGTGCCCGTGGCGTTGATGATGGCCCACTCACCACTCTCCCAGTAGTCCTTCAGGTCCACCGTCTGCTCCATCGGCTCCAGGTCGATCTTGGCCTTGTCATAGCTCCAGGAGCCAAACTTCATCTTGCAATTCTGCTGATCGAAGGGGAAGAAGGTGACGTCGATGCTGCAGGAGCTCTTGTAAATGGCTGGGGGCACCCAGTGCACAGTGCCCGTGGAGAAGAGGTGCGCTTTGGTCATGTGGGTCACCGCAAACTCCCCGTCTGCACTGCAGAGAGAAGACCAGCTGGGGGCTCTGCACACCCACCTGACCCACCCAGACTGCTGCAGAGAGCAACCCGAACAAGGCAGTTCTCAGCTGGCCAAGTGTCCCGTCTTTTGCAAGGGTATAAAACTTCCCCAGAAGATGGACACAGCTGAGTTTTCTTTTCATATAACATTGTTTTAATTGCAAAAGTACCAAGAATTTTTAAAATACCCACTATTAACATTGTGATATTATACATGTCATGTCTATTCTACTGTCACACGGACAATGATTCTGATGGTTTTGCTTATTTGAGGTCACGGGGTGTATGCAGTTCCCTTGCCTGTTTTTATTCCTTTAATATTTTAGAGTGATGATCTTGAACCGTACTTTCCTAGCACATAGTGAGCAAGTAGCCTCTTAGGTAGAAGATCATGACTTTTCCACCTGGATCTTTTGTTCTTTGCTCAAGAGACCTAAGATTTTGGCTAGTGAGGAAACTTCCTGGAGTCCACGCATCTAACCTCAACCACTAGGGCCCCCCTAGGAGGCAGCTTGGCACCAACAGGAGGCTGGCTGAAGTGCTCAGGGAGGACTCGGCCAAGGGAGGGGAGGGAGCACCACAGCAGAGGGCCCTGCAGGAACAAGAAAAATCTTAAGAGTGGGGCCAAGGAAAATCTTAACAGTGCTCACTGGGGCCACCAGGTGGGCATCATGGGGACTGTGGTCGATGAGGTTGGGGGACTTTGTGGGAATGAGTATCCAAAGACCCACAAGGACTATGGGGACACTGGTACAATGGTGACCAGTCAGATGGGACTTCTTCAACTCCCCCTTCGCTTCCTACCGTCTGTCCTAAAGTCCAGGGAATCAGAATACAAGGGAGTTTCCCATGGAGTAGTTCCAGGGTAGAGAGACAGACTGGCTGGAAACAGGAACTTTGAAAGAGAGTAATAAATACATCAGGCAAAAAGTCAAAAAGAAAAAGAAATTAAAGGCATTTTGGTCATTTCACATAGTTGCCGCTAGATGGCAACGTGCACCCATTTGGGGGAAGGAACAGTTCTGTTGATTGGCCAGAGTGCAGTGCCTGGGTGGAGCAGATGTTTCTTTACGTGTCTACGGAAGTTTGACTGGACTTTCCTTGTGAAAATCGAGTCTTAGTGGTCACGGCTTTATTGACGATCCTGCAATGTGAAGTTGTATCTGACCCTAGGACTTTGCTCATATCTCTGCCAAATGCACAGGAAGCAGAAATTAGAATGCTCCTGGGTACCAGCTCCTGGGTACAGAGCAAGGGGGTGGGGGCGTGAGTCAGCAAACACAGGTACCTGGGTGTCAGACCTGCCAGGTCACCCAGTGGCATGTGTGTGTTTAGGTGAGAGGGCGCTGGGCCTGCCCAGAACCAGACAGTGTAAGGAACTGGTATAAGGAACCACTGACCTCTCTGGAGGACCAGAAATGGACCCTCTCTCTATGTTTTATTGTTTAAAAATATCATTTCCAAGGTAGGGTCCGAGGGATTGGGAAGTGCTGGGTAAGCTGGTTTCTTTGCTGCAGGACTTAAAACAGCATTTAAAACGCTATTGTGCTCTGCTGGCTTCCAAAGCCCTGGGCAGGGGGTGACAGACATACAGTGTGATCCAAAACCGTGACCACAGAACCTTGTCATTGCTATTCATATCTCAAGGAAGCAGCAACCTGCTTTAGAAAATGGTTTTAGACAATCATAACACCTTCTTTTAAATGTGAACTTTTTAACTTCTCAATGAAGAATTGCCTGATACCAAACATACTAATAAAAATATAGATTTCTATTTCTCCTATGAAAACGAATATTAATTCGTTGATTTTTGCCCACTGGGATTCTCTGTGGACTCCCCCCCACCCCGCCCTCCAGCTTCTGTTAGCTTCTAGTTGTTAGGGTGAGATTGATCCTTTGGGTCTTGAATCCAAGGCAAGTATAAGATAACATGATTAAAGAAAAAACATACCCAGTGAGTTTGTTCTTCAAAGGTGCAACTACAGGATGCCAACTTACCTGGTCAGACAGTATTGCCATCCTTTAAAATTTCAACTCCTAGGCATTTTTAGAGAGCCTGAACCACATTTTCCAAAGGATACTCAGAGTTGGCAAATCTGTCCCACTGTCACCGTGCTACAAATGAATAATCTTCAGTGCCCAGTAAACGTTGGTGTGTAGGAGGGAGAGAACAGGATGAAAGGAATAAAAGAATACAGAGGAGGGGGTTCTCTGCTAAGCACGGAGAAGGAAATGACGAAGCCCTCCAAGTCCCCTTTACCGCCCCTCCTGAGGGTCTGCCCAGGGCTCCATGTCTTCCTACTTGTTGTAAAGGACAATGTCAGGGATCCAGATCATCTCTGAAGGGACCCGGAGGGAGGTGATGTTGCCAAAATCAGCTGGGTTCCAGCGCAGCTTGTAGTCGCTCCACTCCTGTGCAGGGGAGGGGTCCCATCACTGCCATGCCAGGGAGAGGCCTCTGTCAACCTAGGCTGAGCCAGGGATTCAGGAGCCCCCAGAGCCCCGCCCAGCCCCACAGAACAGAGAGGCTGTGATGCCAGGAAAGGGCTCTGACAGAGGAACTAGGCACACCCTCCCAGATAAACACCTTCCTCGCTTTGCCCCCACTTCAGTAGCTAACTCGCAGGCAGGCGGTGTCCCCAGCCATGCCCTGGTCCTCTCTTGCCTCCCTGGCTGACTCCAGTGAGGCACTGCAGGATCTGAGCTGACGTCGCGTTTCAGCACATCACAGTTTCAGAGGTGGTTAGATTCTCCATCCAGGAAGAGGCTGCAGAGACAGCCGGCCAGGGCATGCCGAGCAGGTGGAAGTGAGGACCACAGAGGGGAAAAGGCACCTGCCAGAGGCAAGCGGCTGAGGCTCGGAGCTGTTTGTGACCTCCAGACTATGTTCCAGAGACCTCCCTACCCAGGGACTGGCCCAGGAGGGAGCAAGAGATCTCTGGACTTCACTCCTGCTCCCCCCAAATCACGTCCAAGCTAACTTGTGTTTCTCTCCCTGGATCAGGTCTTATTCTCTCTCCATTCCATTCGTCATGTCTTCAGTTTCAACCAACATTTGGGGGAACCCACGTCAAGTTGGGGCATATTACTGTCCCCAGGCATGTGGTAGTAGGTTGAATCACATTCATTTTACAGATGAGGAAAATGAGGCTCAGAGAATAACACGCTCAGCATCTCAGGCTGGTCAGAGGTGGTGACGGATTGATGGCCCAGGTCCCGCGGCAGTGTATGTCCTCACCTCCCGCCCAGCCCCTGGCTCAGGTGACCAGACCGTGGGGACAGCTGCGGTGACCTAGGTTCTAGGCCTGCCCCCACCACACACAGTACCTTCCCTGCTCTGGTCCCCAGTTGGCACATCTGTAAAGATGAGCCTCCTGACACTCCAGCAGCTCTGGGATGAGCAGTATCCACTCAGAGCCTCTGGACCAAGGTCTAATTTAAACTGAGTAGCTGAAGCACCACACCCCAACAACATCCGGGGACCCCCTGGTGGACAGGAATTACAGAAAGGGCACTGGAGGGCCAGGCACCCATTCAAAGGACTCAAACAGAGATGCCAATCAACATTCTGGTGGGTGTGGCTCTGCATGTTTACCTCTGCCCAGGGACAGTCGGTGCTGGCGGGGCAGGGCACCAGCTCCTCTTTCTCACATTCTATTGCCACCTCCATGTCAGAGGCCTTCAGAGCAGCAGAACAGAGCAGGAGGAGTAAGAAGGGAGGGAACGCACTGGGGTTCTCATGAGACCTGTGCTCTAATGAGTCTGCCCTAGGAGTGGCCCATCCAGGAGGGCCACCTGCTCTTTGGCTGTCCTTCCACTGAGAGGTGGGGTCTATGGCCCCTCCCTGAATCCAGCTGGACTCCTGTACTGCCCTGACCTACAGAATATGGCAAGATGGATGCTGGGCCCGTTCAGGCCACCCGAGACCAGCAGGTTCCACTTCTGTCTGGGGACCCTCCTTCTGGGAGCCCTGAGCCACAGGTGGGAATCTGACTTCCCTCCTGGAGACACCGCAGGGAAAGACCCCGAGAGGTCCTGGGCAGGGCCAGGAGGCCAGCCAGGCCCACCCTTTCAGAACTTTCCAAACACCCCTGCTGTGAGTAAAGTTGTCCTTAACCCTTCAGAACAGGACAGCCACCAGCCAGATGCTCCCAAGCAGTCACCATGCAAAGCAGAGGAAACCACTCAAACTCCTGACCATGAAACTGAGATAGGAAGCACCCAAGTGGCTCTAGATGGCGAGCTTCAGGTTTGTCAGGCAACACAAACAGGGACACTCGGCGTTCTTTGGTAGAAGGAGCAGAGCCAGGCACTTGGGTGCCCCCTTTACTGGCCCAGCCGCACCCTGCTTCTCATTTTCCTCAGCTGTAAAATGGGCAGAATGAGACCTCCGTGGGGTTTTGGTGACAATGCAGCCTGTCCCCAAGCAGCAAGGACTATGAAATGTCCATTTCTAAGAAAGGCATCTCTGGCTCTCTGGTGACATGTCCAGGGAGTGGACTCAGAGTCTGACCACACAAGCACAGTCCTCTGGAGAGGCCACCTGCAACCAGATGACCCAAGTGGAAGGTGTCACCCACCGTGAATGCAGCAGCTTGCTCTGGTCAGGGAAAGGTGCAGGGAGGCGGGGCCCGGCGATGACTGTCCCCTCCCTGCGGGAAGAATCCTCACCTGCCTCAGCCAGACGTTGGTGGTCATCATTTGGTTCTTCTCGTCCTGGCCGGTAAGAGAGAGAGGGCAACAGAATCCAGAGCACAGGGTGAGCGAGAGGGGCTGCCGGGACCCCCACCCACAGGAAGAGCCTCTGTGCGGCACCCAAGCCCAGCGTCCCTCCCAACACTCCCCTGGACTCAGATTCTTCAGGGTTACACAAGAAACCCCACTGCTGCCCCCTGCTGCCCCAGAAGGGGATCTGGGTGACAGAGGGGAAGGGGCTGGGGCAGCCCAGGAGGAACGGGCTGAGGTCCCCGCTGTAATGGAGGAGGGCGGGGGGATGGGGGCTGCAGGGGGGACCCTGGGGAAGAGCCTGGGGTCTGGAGGCGGGTCCTGAGGGGCCTGGATTGGGGAGACAGGCCCACCACATCAATGAGCTGGGCAATGGACAGTCCAAAGCGCACGATCACCACGTCTGAGGTGTTGGGCACCGGCCGTGCCCAGCGGTTATAGCCCCTGAAGAGGTGTTTGAAGAGGCGGTCCTCGGCCTGGGTGTGGGGGCCTCGCTGCGCCAACGCTGTGCGATGGGAGAGAAGAGGAGGGGTCTCCAGAAGCCAAGGAGGCAGCGGGCACGCGGCTTCCCATCAAAGCAGAGGCCGCCATCTGTGTGAGCGTCAGCTTGCTCAGCTGTCAGGTGGGATGTGAATCCAGATCCCACCTCAAACCCTGTGGAGGACTCGCTATGATAATGTCCATCAGAGCTGTGCACAGCCCCGAGGCCACGGTGCACTCGCTCGTGCTGGTCGTCAAATGGACGTCAGTACCTGTGTGATATTAGATAACAAAGCCAGGGTGCTGCGGCAGGGAGGGGGGACATCCAGCCCAGGTCCCAGGTAAGCTGCAGGGAGGGGACTTGCCCCATGACAACAAGCCTGGTGGTGAGCAGCGTTCGTTCCCACCCAGTCGTCAGAGGAACCAGCAGTGCCAGCCGTAGCCCTCACCACTGAAGTCACCTCCCTGAGTTGCTCCCTTGCCGCCTCTCATCAACTAGGCCAACCACTGTCCATGGGTCTCTCGGGGGATTTTCAGTACTCTGCCAACGGCTTCGGCACACCAAGGCCCTGCCACTGAGCGAGTGGACAGCTACTGCTCCAAACCCAGAACCACAGCAGCTCCAGCTGGGACCGAAAGCCTGGTAAGGACAATAGGCACCACGTGTGTGTCCTGGGTGCCTGCTGTGACCCAGGTGCTAGGCACAGGCTTTCCTTCTGTCCCCACAATAGCTCCGGGAGGTCCACAGCACTATTTGTGTTTTGCAGATGAGCAACGCTGAAGCCGGGGACATTCAAGGTGACACAGCTGCTAATATCAGCGCTGTGACAGCCCCTCCACCTTCCCCCTGTGGAACCAGGCACCAGCCTATGACCTCTAACATCCTTGCGGCCTTGAGGACTGCAATGAGCCCACCTGCAGGAGATCCCCCCACCTGGCACGTGAGCACACAGCAATGAAGTCCCAGAGATAAGGCAGCCGCTCACCTGCTGGGAGCAGAAGGGGCCACCACAGGCCAAACTTCATCCAGGGTGGCAGTGCAGAATGGGAGGGGCCCATGGTCTCAGAGGAGGGTCTGGCTTCCCCTGCACATCCAAAAGAGGGCCCGTCCAGCTTGCTGTGGTCTAACCTGGCAGGGCGTCACCGAGCTGGCATGGCAGGGGGCCACTGGATTCTGCAAGGCTCCTTCTGCTGAACCTGACCAAAGCCAGAGAAGGACTCCTGAGTCGTGCCTCTCGACACTCCACGGAGGGGGGCAAGGCCTGCCAGGAGCAGGGGGCTCCTGCACTCCCCCCAGCTTGACTGAGGAATCCCCGTCTCCCTCTTTCCAGAGTCAGCCGGCTGCTCTCCCTAAAAGGCTGACCTACCAGGGGGCTCCGACGTTCCCACCACTCTGCTTCAGCACCTCATCTGTAAAATGGGGAGAATCGCACAAGCTGGTCAGCAGAAGGACGCAGGCACCAGTCACAGTAGCCTAAAGGTGGAGATGGCCCAACGTCCACCAGCTTATAAACAGATGAAGAAAGCCGTTGGATGGATGCGATGGAATGTGATTCAGCCCCAACAAGGAATGAGGGGCTGACACAGGGCCACCACGCGGAGGAAGCTGGGAAACAGCCCAGACCCTAAGAGGCCAGTCACAGAAGCCCCTGTAGGATGAGGACAGGAAACTCCACAGAGACAGAAAGGACGACCAGGAAGTGGATCTGGGGAGGGAGGTGGCGAGGGATTGCTTAAACACCACTGGGGGATTCCTTTTGGGGTAACCAAAAAGTTCTGGAAATACACGGTGGTGATGGCTGCACAATTCTGGGAGCATTTCTAAAGGGGGACTTCTATGCTATGTGAAGTATACCTTGAAAACGCTGGATTAATAAGATTAATCCGCCTTCTGGATTAATAAGAGGCAGCCACTCTCGGGCCGTGAGGACGGTGGTGTGTGCAGATCACAGCAATGAGATGGAGGCAGCATCAAGAATGGGTGAACTGCTCGACCTGTCGTGGCAGCGAGAGTTGGGGAATGCAGTATTTTAAGTCTATGTATTATTTTATGTCCTATGTGGTTTAAAACGTGTCACTAAGGTGACATGTTAAATATTACCTTTAAAAGTTGACCCATCCAAATTACTATTTTTTTTTAAAGAGCTGCTTTTATTGGGTACACTTTTTGCTTGGGTACACTCTGCATACACGGTGCAGACATAGCACTGGCTTCCAACACAAGCTGTGGGAGCAGGGCTCCTTTGGGGCTGGTGAGAATGTTCTAGAACTAGATAGTGGTGATGGGTGTAATGGTAAGTTTTATGTTAACTGTATTTTAAACAAAATTTCTAAAAACAAACAAACAAACAAACAAGAACAAGGATAAGAGAGCGCTTTAAAAATGTAAGCCACCTCGCGCATGAGGGAATTAGAATAACCGTCACTGGAGGCACGAAGCCACACTCTCCTTCTCAGCCCTCCTTGTCCCAACATCTCAGCAGCGAGTCCAGACATCACCCATGATCTCCTGCTTCTCCCAAGCCTGTCACACTGCTCCCTTCTGCCCTCTTGGCAGGAAAGGAGAACTGGCCTGGAGCTTGCAAATGTGGCTCTGGGTCCTGGCCAAGTCGCTAGGCTCTGCTGGGCTTTTGGCTTATCCTTCTCCTGCCCTGCCTACCTTCAGGACAGGGTAGGATGGCTGTGCTCCTGGAAGCTCCCGGCCCCGTGGTGGCTGGGCTGGGCACGCTGCTACTGGGCTTGTCAGAGCACCAGGGCCCAGGGGCATCACACAGAGACAGTTCGTGCCAACCAGGGAAGAGAGGGCGTGGGAAGGGTTTGAGGAGAGCGTCAGTGTCCTGCAATTTCTGAGACTTATTTATTGCAACAGGCTCTTCCAGGGTGTGTTTTGGGGCAAAAGGCCTCCCCACGTCATTCTCCCCAGGAGGTTTCAACCCAGAGACTCACTGGAAAATGAGATTCACGTTTGTCCCCTGTCCCCTCGAGAGAATGCTGCCCCTTACCACCAGCCACCCTTACTCACCTGGTGCCACACTACCCCACTGCTGCCCTGGGGTTTCCTGCTTCATTCTACCTCTCTTAGAGGTGACTGGTTCCTGCCTGTCCCCCAAACGGTTCCCAGAGGTGGCTGCTCAGGAGAGCTCTCCCAAAGGGGTCCCCACGTGGGAGGGACAGGGGTTCTGGGAAGCTGCCTCCCACAACAGCCCCAGGCTCAGACCCCTCAGGAGCTGCTCTGTCCACACACCAGGTGCGGTGGCTCCCACGGAGGCGCAGCTTCATGTACACACCAACTAATGGTCCCCTGAGTGCCACATAAGGTTTGTGCAGCACCCACTCACCTGACCCTGGTGAGCAGAGCCGCTTGGTCCCAGGTCTCTAGCCCTCACAGGGGACTGTCCCCCTTCCTCCAAGAAGACCCTCTGCAAAGAAAGCAGAGTAGCCGGGCTCTTTCTAGGGAAAGCTCTCGTTGCTGTACTGCCCTTTCATCTTGTAACCGTTTCCTCCAGGTACGTATAGATCACCTGCAATCTCAGGGATTAGAAGCCATTTTACTTGTCTTTGACCCTTTTCCCCAATTCCCAAATTTCCAACCATAAGATGCATCAGTTACTTCATATAATAGCCCGTTTGTTTGTTTGTTTGTTTTTATAGGCAGCGATGCCTGCGATGTTTGGATATGTTCTCCCCCAATCTCATGGAGAAAGGGGGCTCACAAAAAATCACGTAAACTCCATCCAAACAGAGTGCAATAACCCAGGTCAAGTGTGGGGCAAGGGAAGCCACCCAAGCTCAGATGAATAGATACCCAAAACGTGGCCTGTGCACACCGTGGAATACTACTCAGCCTTTCAGGAAGGAAAATTCTGGTACCTGCTACAACATGGATGAAATAAGCCAGACGCAAAAGGACAGATACTGTACAATCCCACTTACACGAGGCACCTGGAGTCATCAGATGCACTGAAACAGGAGGTAGAATGGGGGTCTCCTGGGGCTGGGCAGAGGGGAGATTAGGAGCTGCAGTGTGGAAAGATGATGAGGTTCTGGAGATGGATGGCGGAGATGGATGGCGGCAATGGTGGCGGAGCAGCCTGGATGGACTCACGGCCACTGAACCGCCCAGCAGTTAAAGTGGTAAATAAAAATCAAAGTCGGCTGTGCTCACCTGGGATTGCCTTAGCTGAGGCTTCGAGGCCTATGGCCCGACAACTGGGCAAAGGTCTGCCTGCGGAGGCTTCTGGAGAAGAGCAGAAATCCCTGCTGTGAGCTGGCTCCTTCAGGGTGAAGGCTGGGTCTCTCCCCAAGCCTCCAGCCCAGCCCTGGCTCCCAGGACACCTTTTGCCCTGCGAGTTCTAGGTACGCAGAGCCTCCTGGGAAAGTACCAGGGAGGAAGAGGCCCCGGGAGAGTGGATGGGGGAAGCCAAGGTTGGCCAGGGAGTTTAGGACAAGACTACAGAAGACATTTACTCTCATAATCCGATTGTTTGCTTTTTATTGATTTATCTCTCCGTGACCTTCATCCCTTACCAGGACCAAGCATGTGCTGGGTAACAGGAGAGAGAACTGAGCTACTTGACCCCAGAGGGACACAGTGGAGAAGAACAGGAAGAAGACGACTCTGGGGTCTCATCTACTCATCCCCACCTGCTGCCGAGCTTGATCATGTTCATTTAACCCCAGTGGTTTCAGAGGCATCCAGGGAGGCCCCAGGTGCCCCCCCAGGCTTCCCTTCCAGGCTTTAAACAATTCCTCATGTTGGGAAGTCCCTCCCTGAGTCTGATTCTGGGTAAGCGCCTGAGAAGCTTGAGTAGAGCTGAGCTGAGCCACCAGCGGCTTACCTTCTTGAAGCAGGTGGCACATCCCCTCTGTTCTCTTCAGAACACCTGACAACACAGACCAATCTTTCTCTTCCTTTCTCCTCTTTCATCCTCTCTACCTTGGAGGACCTCAAGTGTCCCAGGCCCTCCAAATTCACCTGGGGATGTCAGTGGCTTACATATCACCTCACCCCCACTCTCACCCCCCACTGGAAGTTTGGTTTTTTGTTTTGTTTTTCATTTTACTGGTTAAAACAAAGAGGAATTATAAAATGCA